GATCGGTATCCATGGCGGTCGCCTTTTTTCCCTCACCTTCTGCGACGTCGAACTCCACGCGCCCATGGCGCCCTGCCTCCTTGGTCTGGCCGATTCCGCGCCCCTAGGGCCCCTAACCGCTGACCACCTTCCCCATCACTTTGACCGCCCGACCTCCCTCTTCTCGCTAGCCCCTTGATGCCTGCTGCGATTGGGAAGGGAGGGAGAGACCAGCGATGATGAGCGGATAGGGTTTAGGGTTTTACCTAAGGCGAAGCGCGGGTGCGGGGCAAGTGCGAACGTGGTCGGGAGCACGCGCGTGGGCAAGGGGAGGAGGCGAGTGTAACACCCCGGTGTTATGCAAGCATTTAGGCACTGCAAATCATGCATATTAGGCATCATCAAGCATCCTAATCATACATGCCTAATCACGTAAATAATAACCGAAACAATGCTTCGAAACATATGAAACATGCTCGTGAAACATGAATGTTGCATACACTTGTTTAGAGTTATTTTTGCCCTAATTATGCTTACTAGGTAAATAAAACATGTTTGGCTATAATTGTAAATCATCTAGAATTATTTAGCATAATTTTTGGAGCAAAGTTTGTATTCAAACTTTTGACAAAATATGATTTTGAAATTATTATTGGAAAGGGTAAAAAATCCTCTCTATTTAGCTTTTGCTTCCCAATTCAAAATCTATGCAAAATTTTTAGTCGGTCCCTAAAGCAAAGTTGTAGAGGACTAAATTCTAAGCAACTTTAATTTTTGGGCCATTTTCAAAAGAAGTTATTTTCTTGCTTAAAATGGTACTTGAAAACTGATATTTGAAAATTCATTGAAAATAGAATTAGAAAAATTGTTTATCTCTTTTAACGGGTCATCACTCGATTCTGGCCCATCACCGATTGGCCCAATGATCCTCACGCTTTCCGCCCTCTCTACCAGCCCACGCCTGTATTGCTTCCTTCTCCTCATGCATGACGCTTCCGAGCCGTCCAGGCATGCATGCGCCAGCGTGGCGAGTGTCGGCGACGCTTGGCCGGTGGCGCCTGTGGCCCGTGAGCACGTCGTCTCGCCTGGTTTAAGCCCCTGCAGCTCCGCTTCTCCCAAAGACTCCTCATTTTCCTCTCCCACACAGCATACTTCTCGCCGCCCCGAAGCTCTGCTTTCATGCGCCTCGCCATCGCACCCTCCACGTGCAAATTAGCGCCGGTGGTCCACCATTGCCCGCAATCGAGCACACATCGCTCCGCCTCGCTCCCGACACCCGGTGCTCGGCATGTAGGGTCACTGATTTGAAACAAGGTACAATGGCTACCTTTGAGCGTTTTTGCCATTGGCCGGTCATGGTGTCGCCACGCTTGACCTCACCGTGGAAGGGCTTTCCCGTCCCTTCTATCCCCTTGAGTGACCTGCCGGGTTCGCCATGTTCTTGCGGACCCAGTAAGCACGCCTGCTTGTTGCCCATTCATGGTACGACAACGGTTGGCCGGCTCATTGTTGGCGGCACTTCACCGCTCATGGCGCCTGGAACACCGTGGTGGCGTGGTCTGTCTCGCCTCGCCTTTCTTGGGCAGGTCACCTTGAAGTGGAGCCCCGAGCCAGGCCGTCGCCTTTCCTCACTGATCGGTTGCACAGTACAAAAGCGGTTGTGGGCACGATCATTCCCATGGGCCGCCCAGAGTAATATGAAAAATATTTTCGTTTTTTTTTATTATTTGGGAAGAGAAATACTTTGGAAAATGTTTGTGTAATCATTTTGGCTCCAAATTTGTTGAAACAAATTTTGTTGTGTTCCTTGTCACCAGATCTACATGCTAAAAAATATTGCATGTCATTTTTGATATACTTTTCTCAGAGAGCTTTATTTAATTCTTGATATTGTTTGATATCTTGTAAAATGTAGTAAAACCTATATGTATTAGAAAAATATGCTTCAAAGTTTGTTACTCTTCCTGTGTAATGTACTTTCTAGAAAAAATATATGCCATGCATGTCCTGTAGAAAAATTGTGAGGTGTAGTTCAAGTGACTTTAATGGCTAACTTTTGTTATTTTTACTAGAAAGCAAAATTTGTATAAAATATGCATGTGATAATTTTTGTGCAATTATTATTTACTATATAGAACATAGGAAAAATATTACATCTGTTGTTTGACACTTTTCATACTACAGAGTATTTTCATGTTCATAATTATGCCATAGCTTGTCATTTTTGTGTAGGCTACTCCACTTATTCAAATGTCATAAAAAATTAATGGTAGACTACTTAGGGTAGTACTGTGCTATGGTAATTTTCTAAGATTTTTCTAAGCTATAAAAATAGATGTTGCTATTCAAACCTATTATTAATTAGGGTTTAATCAAATGTTGCTTTATGTATGATTAAGAAATTAATGAAGCTTTGGTGTATTTTTGAAGCATTTAATGAGATGTGTTGACTTAGCATATTAGTAGTAGAAGAGAATGCAGTAGATGACATGTGCTTTGTAGTACATTGTGTTCATTTCATCCAATGCACCTTTTGCATAAGCACTTACGCACCTGCATCATACATGATCGTAAACCGAGAGCCCAGTCGTCATACCCGAGGAGCTCGAAGAGCAGCTCAAGGTGCAGCCGTAGGAAGTGACCAAAGCAGACGAGGAGGACGTTGAGGAACTTCCGGAGTGCCCCGATCACCGCCCGAGCTCCTTCGAGAGAGGCAAGCCCCTAACATTTTTCTCCCCGGTTTGCAATTATTAATTAAATGCTTTACTTTAATTGATGCATTACGTTCAGAGTTGTTTGCAATCGTTGCTTTATTATACCTTGTCTACCTTTGTTATACTATATCCTTGTTACCCCAGTATCCGCAATCGAGTCAATGCTTAGGCCGGCTTAGACCCAGGTAGAAGTCGGGTGATTTCCTGTCACCTGCGAGCTATAGGTGGTTACCCGGATCTGCTTGGATAACTAAGTGTTAATTTGAAGTTGAGACCGGACGGAGACTTACAGAGTTTTTAACAGTAGTGCTTTCCGTCTGCGGTCGATTGGCGACGATCGCTGTTGGGCCTCGGTCATGTTGAACGCATGCCTTACATTTAGTCGGTGAATAAAGTACCTTTCGACCGTGAAGTGAGGGAGATTATTCGGTCGAGTAGATTGCCCAGCATTGCCTTGTATCGGAGCAGGTGTGGTAGGACACGGGCCGATGATAAGACCAAAGAAGAATCGGTCGGCCCCGAGTACATGTGGTTCCCCGGCAAACTCGAGATTTTCCTAGATAGTTGACTCGGTGGACCGATACCTCACTTTAGCGGGTGAGTGAGGTTTGTGTAAGGAATAAATCAAGCAAATTGGTTAGGAATCGATTGAATCGCCATCGCTCCTGGATAGTGAGCACTTGACTTGAGTGACTTTATCGTAGTAATGTTGATGGAACACTTGGACGTTATAATGAATATGACATTATGGAAGTTGTTAATGATCATTGGTTATCATTATTTGCTTAATCACATGCTTGCTCTAGTATAGGTATAAATGTAGTACGGCAAAGTTAATAATAATTAACTTGACAATAATGCTTTTGAAAATGTTCTTGAAATACTAAAATGTCTCTTTTTGCAAATGAGTCACTACCCTACTATAAAGCCCTTCATAATCCTTGGTGTCACTTTATTTTTGGTTATGTCGGGTAAGTCTAGCTGAGTACCTTCTCGTACTCAAGGTTTTATTTCCACTTTTTGCGAGATGGGCGGATGTATTACTACTTACTGGTATCAACCGCCTTTATCCTGCGATGTGTGATGCTTAGGACCATGGGCATGGTCATTCCCTTACGCCTCGTCGATGCTTTTGTTGGAGATGGTCATTAATCGGCATCGTATTTGAACTTCGTGTGAGTGCGTGTGGTTTTGAACAAATGGCTTCCGCTACTTTTATTCGAACTCGTTTATAATAACTATGTTTAAACTCTGATGTATCTGTGATGTGAACTTTTATGTAATATGTGATGGTGACCGCTAAACTTATTACGATTTTGGTTACAGTATGTGAGTTGGTTTGAAATCCTTCGTGATTTCACGGACTCTACCGGTTATACGGGCTTAAGTTTGTTAAATCGTTCGCTTTCTGGCGGATGATTTTCTTACTTAATTTCATATAATTGGTGGGATTACATTACAATGGCCTTGAGGTGGAAGATTTAGTCGCAGCTCCTCACGCCTACCTTACCAGGCGGAGCTTGCATCAAAACCAAGAGGGGGCATTCCGTAGATGAGCAAAATGAACAAGCAACTAACTTTATGACAGGTTAGTGAGAGCAAAGAGTTGAATTGAGAGATGTATAGGCGTATAGTAGAGTAGCATATCAACTAGATTTTTACTAAGCACGTGAATTAGTGGCGAGTCTCTACAAATCTGTATGGGCGTACCATCGCCCAGAATGACCTATAGATAGCTCAACCCGGTGCGCATTATCGCCGCTTAATTGAGTTTGCGAATATAATCGGCGTGTTCGGCTACTTAATAAGTCGGCTTATCAGACATGGTATAATATTTTTCTCTCCCAACAAATTAATCGTACAAATCAGTACCAGCGGCTTATATACTAGCCAAACACGGCCAATACTCTACAGCATACTCTTTTTTTTTGAAATCTACTGTACAGCATACTTAACACCTCTAGTCCCTGACATCCTAGTACGTGGGTCCAACGAGTCCTTGTATCCGATGGCTCCCGCTGCGCTCCCTCCTCTCTCATCCGTTGATTCCCTGCCCAGATAAACCCATCTGGATGACGGCGCCCCGACACACGCCGCGGTAGGTTGTTGCGATCTGCTCGCTCGCCCCCATCTAGCCACTACAAAACCCTCCTCTCCTCTCTCCTGCGGCCTCCTCGCGATTCCGGCGACGAGGCGGCGAGAGAGAGCTGCCCCCGCGAGAAAAAACGGATAAGAGAGGGCAAAGCTGACAGCGAGGGGAGACGGAGGACCAGGAGCGGCGTCGAGCTAAAAGCGCCGGCGGCGGCCATGGCCACCGCGGACCGGACCCGGACTTTCATGAAGGACGTCAAACGCGTCATCATCAAGGTGATTGAATCGTACGATTGGCGACGGTGGCCGACCTGTTAGATCTAAATCGCGATTTGTTTGGTGCTATTTGCATTGCGTTGTTCATATTCTTCTGTGTTTTCTAATCGTGTTTTTTTTATAACGCGAATAATTCTTTAATAACCGCGTTTGATTTTGGGTTCTCTTCGTCTAGGCAAGTGGTGAGGCAGCAGGGTTTTGTTTGGGTTTTATATTTTGCTTCTATCCCTTATAGTCGAGTTGACGGGTTGACGGTGAAAGTTGATACGTTGACTCCTATGTTTGGAGTTTGGATGTCGTAATCTTAGTTTGCTATATGATTTTTATCAGATTTTATCAGATGGGAGATGCGAATGCATAGAGAAGCCATCCTGTCTGGATGTTTTTTCGTATGTGAATCAACTCGTTCGAATTGCCGGATTGTTTCTCTGTTTTTTTTATATCGAATTGCCGGATTGTTTCTCCTCTGTTTTTATGGGAATATCGGTAGCTGGATTAGTCTATCTATCAAATTGTTCCCCGAAAAAAAAAGGTTGGTTTTGCGGGGGGTGGGGGTTGTGCAAGGTCAGCACCAGTGTGCCGTCCCACCCCACCACAAAGTTGGCAACTTTTGGGAATTACCTATCCGAGTATATCCGTCTGGATCTTCTAGTTTTGATTACAGCTGATTCTTACCTTTTTCACAACAGGTGGGCACTGCAGTTGTCACGAGGCATGATGGGCGACTTGCTTTGGGTAGACTTGGGGCTCTTTGTGAGCAGGTAGCAATTCTAATTCAAACTTTCATAATGTTCTATCAACTAGTGAAGTCTGCAAAGATTCTTAGCCAAATATTCCTGTCAATGCAGGTGAAGGAGCTGAACGCCCTAGGATACGAGGTGATCATTGTGACCTCAGGTGCTGTTGGTGTGGGGAAGCAGAGGCTCAAGTACAGGAAGCTTGTCAATAGCAGCTTTGCTGATCTGCAAAAGCCACAGATGGAGCTGGATGGAAAGGCTTGCGCTGCCGTTGGACAGAGTGGCCTCATGGCTCTTTACGATATGCTATTTACTCAAGTGTGTTTGTTAACTTGCTATCGAAATTTGTCGACAGTTCTGTGCCTTGTCCATATGTTTCTAATGTTGAGCTTCCTGTTATGCAGCTTGATGTATCCTCTTCCCAACTTCTTGTGACAGATAGTGATTTTGAGAACCCAAACTTCCGGGAGAGGCTCCACGAAACTGTTGAGTCACTATTAGATCTTAAAGTTGTACCAATATTTAATGAAAATGATGCCATCAGCACTAGAAAGGCTCCATATGAGGTTTGTGTTGTACCATGAATGACTTTGAAAATTTCAACAGCATTTGCTGCACTGCTTGATAAATGTGATTCTGTGCTACTTATGCACCTGGACCTTAACCAATGCATGAGTCTATTAAATTCTTAATATTTAATAGCATTTTCGATGTCATGCTCATCAACTGTTTGTTTTACAGGATTCATCTGGTATATTTTGGGATAATGACAGTTTAGCTGGCCTTTTGGCTATAGAAGTTAAAGCAGATCTCCTTGTTCTACTCAGTGACGTGGATGGCCTCTACAGTGGTCCACCAAGTGATCCTCAATCAAAGATAATACATACCTACATCAAAGCGAAACATCACAATGAGATTACTTTTGGCGATAAGTCACGTGTAGGTAGAGGAGGAATGACAGCCAAAGTGAAGGCTGCTTTCGTGGCTTCAAACAGTGGCACACCTGTTGTTATTACAAGGTATGTATATTATGTTTGCCGTTCTTTAGCAAGAGAACAATAACTGGATTAACTGGCCTTTGTTACTCATTTATATATTCCCCATGTAAAAAAAAGGGCAGACCAGTCTTGCGAGGCTCCCACATGAGTGGGTGTCCGGGAAGGAAAAACCGAGGCAAGCCTTCACCCGCAAAATCTACGGAGAGGCTGCTTGAACCCGCTGACCTGGTGACTCGAGGAGACAAGCGCCACCACGGCACCAGGCCTGCCCTTCTTATATAGCTGATAGTTGGTGTGACTCACTGTATATTTGTTGTAGACTGCATTGGACTCAAGTGCTTCTTACATCTTATTGCTATGTTTCCACTCTGCCTTAATTAAATGCGTTGAAATAAGAGAAGTAGTTGTATCATGTTATTTATGGTATAGCTGGTCATTCTAAATTTGAACTTTTTTATCCTTGAAGTGGATTTGCATCTCAGAGCATTGTTAGAGTTCTCCAAGGAGAGAAAATTGGTACTCTCTTTCATAAGGGGCGCAAGTCTGTGGGAACCATCCAAAGATGTTAGTGCTCGCGAGATGGCTGTCTCTGCAAGAGAATGTTCAAGGCGTCTCCAGGTATGTTATCAAGACAATGCTTGCTGGAAGACACAAAGTGCTAGCCCACTTTTTTTTCTGAATATTTTATACCAACTTTGGACATTTATGAAACAGAATTTGTCATCGGATGAGCGCAAGAAAATATTGCTAGACGTTGCAGATGCTTTGGAAGAAAAACGAGGATGTGATTAGAACCGAGAATGAAGCTGATGTAGCTGCAGCACAACATGCTGGATATGAGAAATCTTTTTTGGTTTCTAGGTTGACTTTGAAGCCAGGAAAGGTAGCCCTAGTATATATTTCAGCATATATTATAACCACAATTGCATATTAATTTCGTGTTCCTTGTTTTTTGATTTGTTGAATTATTGTGCATTTTTTCTTCTTGGTGTTTTTCTTTTCATTTGATTCACTTTAATGTTTCATCGTGTTACAGATAGCAAGCCTTGCAAAATCCATCCGCACTCTTGCACATATGGAAGACCCAATCAACCAGATACTCAAAAGAACAGAGGTGGTTGCTTATAAACTCTCTAACAAAGGAAAAACTAACATATTTTACTAAAGATAAATCTTACATCTGCAAGAGTACCTTTTTCAGGTTGCTGAAGATTTAGTCCTTGAGAAAACATCGTGCCCGTTAGGGTGTGCTATTGATCATTTTTGAGTCCAGGCCTGATGCCTTGGTCCAGGTAGTTTTTTTCGTCACAATTTACCATTTAATTTTTACCATGTGACTGGTTCATGCTTAGTACTTAAGCATATTTATAAGCTATCTTTGAGCTTTGATATCGTTGTGTAGATTGCGTCGTTAGCAATTGAAGTGGCAATGGTCTTCTCCTGAAAGGTGGAAAAGAAGCCATGAGATCAAACACAGTATTGCATAAGGTATTTTCTCATGCTGACATGACATGTTTTTAGATCGGTGTCCTGAAATAAATTTCTTATAGGTTATAACTGGTGCAATTCCTAGCAATGTGGGTGACAAACTTATTGGACTTGTTACAAGTAGAGATGAAATCGCTGATTTGCTAAAGGTGAGTAACATATTATGAAAATAATGATTTTACCAATATGCCAAATAAGCCGAAACTCATAACACACCCCACAGCTTGATGATGTCATTGATCTTGTCATTCCAAGAGGCAGCAATAAGCTGGTTTCACAAATCAAGGCATCAACTAAGATCCCTGTCCTTGGTCATGCTGGTAAATTTATCTTTTTGGTATAAACAATTCACTACAATATTTCAAATATGTTGACTTGTGTTTGATTTCTGTATTTTTTTCTTTCCTCTATAGATGGTATTTGCCATGTATACATCGACAAATCAGCTGACATGAATATGGCAAAACGAATAGTGATGGATGCTAAAATTGATTACCCAGCAGCCTGCAATGCTATGGTATGTCTATTTTGTTACAATTTATATTATTTAACACGTCTCTTTTCAGCTTATTTGTTAATTACTTTTGTTGGCGCATCTTTACTCAAGAGAACCAAGTAAAACCTTTACACACATTAGACAACTTAAGAACGCGTTTCGACGCGTGAGCCACTCAATGCCTCTCAATCATGCTAGTATTTTGTGTTTTTCTTTTATAAAGATAAAGAAAATCCTTCATAATCACACGCGGACATGTCAATCATCCTTGATTCACCATTAATCTTTTTCTCTTTCAAAAATTAATTTAATATATAACTACAATCCATAAAGATGTTGATTCCTTGTAAGCCACCTTTTCTTTTTTATAACAGATTTATTTTCATAGTAGAGATCTTTGTGACAAATATGATATTTTCAGTACAACTCATGATATTGTTACTCCTTTTTTTCAAAAGTCAGACACCTTAACTTATTTCAGATTCAGATATAACATATTTTGCTTGTCTTCTGCAGGAGACATTGCTTGTTCATAAAGATCTTATAAAGGCTCCAGGTCTTGATGACCTACTGCTATCTCTCAAAACAGAAGGTTTAAGTTTCACTTTACTTGCTCATCCTTAAAATATACATTCATATAGCTGCTCCTTGTTTCTAGATACAACTAAGGGCTTGTTTGGCTGCACTTAAATCCACCTGAATACAGGATTGAGGTGGAATAGAGTGCAGCCAAACAAGGCCTAATGTGTATCCTGAATCAGGAGAGGATAATTGCCTCTTTTGCATTGTTCTACCTTGTGTTCCGATGTGGAATCAAGTGAGCTGTTGTAGTCAATCTTTTGTAATTCTCATAATATGCCTTTGTTAATATCGCACAAAATAAGTTGTTAGTACATGAAAAGAAGTATATTTGCGGGGAAGAATAAAACACATGTGAGTAATACGTTAACTCTTGTTTGAATTTTGTTAGCAGATGCTTAGAATTGTGTTAGCAGATGCCTACATCTCTAGTATGTTGGCAAATTCTTATTATTTTGGATAAATCTGGTTATGCAAGGCAGTTCCATTTGTCCATTTTCATCAAAGTTCTATACTTCTATGAACTTGTGGATTGCTTCTTTGAGCACTTTCATCAAAGTTCTATATTTCTGATTGCTTCCTTGTTCTTAAAAAAGAAGCTGATAATGTATTGTAGGAGTTACTCTTTATGGAGGGCCTGTTGCACATGAACTATTGTGCATTCCAAAAGCTGATTCATTCCATCATGAATATAGCTCTATGGCCTGCACAATTGAGTTCGTTGATGGTGTACAGTCAGCAATTGACCATATACATCGCTATGGAAGGTACTTACATTCTCTCCCTCCCTCCCTCTCATTATTGAAAATCTAGTAAAACTGAGATTCACTGCTTCTTTTTATTTCAGTGGACATACAGATTGCATTGTTACTACAGATGATAAAGTAGCAGAAACTTTTCTGCGCCAAGTTGATAGGTACGTTTAAACATCAGTGCCCCTTCTTTTTATTCATTTTTACTGTGTGTGCAATCAGTTAAATGTGCTTTATTCTTGCTATCACTGTGTCCAATGTTGTTTTGTTCTGAATTCTATGATGATTAAATATCTCACTGATTTTAGTTTACTTGTACAATTGCAACAGTGCTGCTGTATTTTATAATGCGAGCACACGATTCTCTGATGGGGCTCGTTTTGGATTGGGTGCTGAGGTACGCCCCTATCTTTCATGGCATTTTTAGTGAAAATTTTGGAATAAGCAGGAATATCTTACATTGGCATAAAGTTACTTTTATCTTTTCTAATGATTATTTACCTTTTTATCTTAATATTTCTACCTTTGGAATATCTTGAATAGGTTGGCATAAGCACAGGGCGCACACATGCTCGTGGGCCCGTGGGTGTTGAAGGTCTCTTAACAACACGCTGGTAAGTGGATTTCCATACAATCGATACCCTTCAGTTATTCTTCTGTTCCCGTAACCCTATTTCCTATTTCCTAGTAACTGCACAGCCATACTTCTTATCGGAAGTGTAAAACTGAGATGTGCAGTTGCTAGTTCTTGACATTGCAGGCATGTATCTAGTTTATTGACTGGTGAAAGGATATTAGACTCTGTTCTCACTGATAAATAATACCCTGCACTTCGCAACAGAGGTCTTTCTGCTAAGATGTAAATAAGTTTATTGACTGGTGAAAGGATATCTCACTGATAAATAATACCTTGCACTTCGCAACAGAGGTCTTTCTGCTAAGATGTAAATAATACCCTGCGGCCTGCAGTTCGCAACAGAGTCTTTCTGCTAAGATGTGCAGGGTATTTAACATAAAGCTCCCTATATTGCAAAACAGACCTAGTTTTGCAGTTTATATGATATCTGGGCTGCTTATATTTCCGCATTTGAATCCTTAATATATAAAATATTGATAGCTCGTGGGTCATTCTGTATGAGCTTGGGGGGACCCTACCTCCCCAATAAAGCAGTGCTGGAAGTAATACAACACTGATCGACCAAAGCTATGTGAATTTATATGATATATGTTCGAAGGTTGCTGACCCCCACCTTCCCAATAAAGCAGTTCTTGAAGAATTTAAGAAGTGTAAATTTATATGCTCTTGAATAGTGGATTTTCTAAGTTGTACTTGTACAGTCTGGTAGAGATTTGTCTAATTCTCTGTGCTATTTTAAGACTGGTTACTACAATATTGTATATTTATGGATGTTCACTTTAACCTATAGGATCATGCGAGGGAGTGGGCAAGTGGTGAACGGTGACAAGGATATTGCATACACCCATAAGAACCTTCCTTTGCAATGAGGCAGGTAATGATTATTTTTCCATAAAGCTGTTGCAAGTCGTTTGATCTTATAAAGTACTTTTAAATGACAGTGGTAGCAAAAGCGTACTAAACCTAAGCAACTATGCAGGCCGTTTTTGTGCTTAATCAGGATTCGTGTCCATCCAGTGATGTTTGATAGTTTCATCAGATAGGAGCAAAGAATGGTGAATCTTTTCGATTGAGGACTGTGAATCCATGGACTTAAATGTTCAGTCATTGTGTAGACCATCATTCTGGTGGTTCATTCTGTATGAGCTTGGAGGCACACCACCTCCCCAATAAAGCAGTGCTGGGAGTAATAGAGCACTGATGTGAGTAATAGAGCACTGATGTACCGAGGGTGTGTTTAGGTTAAACAGGAGGTTAAACAAGAGGAACCGGTTATATTCTTATATTTATTTTGTTTTTTTGGTGCGATCGAACCCATGTCACATTTTTTGTGCTGACTTGTTTCTTATAATTCTACTTAATCTCAAGATTTATGAGCTATCCTAGCCGGGTCGTGATTACACGACATCTTGATACCGGGTGTGTTCGATGCTGTAGCTGTGGCTTTTCCCCTATCTTCAGGTCACTGTATTGAGTATTGACGGCAGAAGCCTGCTGCGGTAGCCGTAGCTTTACTGCTGCCGGAGTTGTAGTTAGTAATATATAATCTATCACTTGTTCATACTGTAGGCCGCAATGTTACCCAAATTTGCATTGTTCTTGGCAATGATCTTTGTCTATTGTTCTCGGGAAACACGACTACACTAGTCTGATTCAGTTATATATCACCTTCATTGCTTTAGCATTATGGCTGTTACATAGACTTATACAATCGGCCTTGATCGCCTGAATTTTAGCACGCCACGTCCACAAGCATAACACACTGCTACACAATCAGCACCCGAAGTTCTTCAGGCAGGCTTTGGTCAAATTCTACACGACACAGCAAGAAGCTCAGTACACACGGCAGCAACGCATCACCGATCAATGATGCCATGGTGAGCTGGTAGGTCGACTACGCGACCGGCGGCCAGTGTGCGGGGTCCTTGGTCGTGTCGAGGGACGTCGGCGGTATCCACTGCCAGAAGGCAGCCGGGGGCAGGTAGCTTGGGTACGGGACGAACTTTCCAGCCTGAGCAGCAAACGCCGCCGGGTGGAAAGATGGAGCGGCTGCTGCAGCAGGGTGCGGGACGAAGGGCCCTGGAGCCACTGCGGCGTGGCTCACGCCCTTGAGCATCTGCTCCAGCCTCTCCCTCTCGGCCTTCAGCCTCGTCTTCTCGTCTCGCAGCTCGGACTTCTCAGCCTGCAGCCACACATTGAACACCGGTAAATACACTTTGGACGAATGGTTATCCAGATGTTCTGTCAATTGATTGATTGACATACCTTGAGACTCTTGATGGAGTCCTGGAGTGATTCGTTTGATTGCTTAAGCTTCTGCGCCTCGGTACGCAGCTGGTTCAGGAGACGGGCAGCGTCGCTTAGAATAGCAACTTTGTCGGCCTTTGGTGGCTTGCCAGGTTCCAAGATGGCGCAGAGCTCGTTGAACCTGGAGTAGTACATCATTAGGGAATGATCAAAGATGATCATACTCGGTGTTACAAGCGCTGAACATGTCTAGGCTGGAGCAGTGGGAGATTGGTATTGGTCACTGAGGGTCTGAACTCTGAAACACAATTAAAAAAAAAAAACTCTGAAACACACCTTTCATTGAGCCTGTCTCGCCGGAGCTTCTCACGGCAAGCCTTGGTGCCAGGTGGCGCACTGGACTCTGGCCGGGATCTGCTAAGAAGAAAGGGAAATAGGAAACCACATCAAATTATGCTCACGGTCACGGACTTCAGGGGCAACAGAATTGGACGTGAAGTATGTGATGGCTCCCAGCATCTGTGATGTGGACATTTTTCCGCTTTATTGTGCTAGTTCTGACTTTGATAGTACAGTCAAATGGGACCATGGACCATGAATTTGAACAAGTCGTAGTTGCCAAGGTGGAGTCTAATTATGAGAAAGCAGATTTGCTAGACGCGCCTGCAAACACTGCATCTTTTCACTGCAACCTGAGATCTGTGAGTTTTCTTCTAGTTCAAGAACGATGAGCATAATAGACAGGTTGCCAATTCCTGAATACCACTAGCTCTACATTTCTTGTCAACCAAATCAGAGGTCTGCTAATCAAGCACGTAATTTGTATGCCAGATCACTCAAACAGAAGCTAATACTAGCGACAAACAAGAAATAAGAAATATCCCAAACCATCCATGATTATGTCTCTGCAAGCTCCTAGACATTCGAAATCCACCAAGCTTAACTTTAGGGTGAGCGATTATGTCTCTGCAAAGATCAACTGAAAGGGAAGGGAGAAAAGAAAGATTGCCTCTTCTTGGCGCCGGAGTTGTCCTGGACGCCGTCCTCCTTCCTGGGAGCATCGAACCCCAGTATCACGCTGCAAGTGCAAACCGAACCAACCAACCAACCAATCAGGCATCATCATCAACAGCTAGCCAACAACAACCCACCAAACAAACATGAAAGAGGACCCAGCAAGAAGGAGAAGAGTCTGGCTCCCTCACCTGGAGACGGCCGGGTCGTCGACCATGTAAATGAACTCCGAGCCCTGGATCTCCTCCTCCACCAGCCCGTAGTCGAGCAGCCACCCGCCGGCCTGCCCCGCGCAGCTCATCGGCACCCACCCCAAGCAAGCGAGCGAGCGAAGCAGCACAGATCTTTCGCGGGTCGCGCGGGGCGAGCACGAGCCTCGAGCGTTGCTTGCCGTGTTGGGGGGAGCGGCGGATCGCGTGGCGTGCTTGTGCTTGGGAGCCTTCCTCAGGCCTCAGCTCAGCTTCCTTCCTCCCACCCTTTTGCCTTTTGGCGCCTCTAAATAACACGCAACATGGTCGCGCTCCCCCACCCCCCTGGCTTTTGGCGAATAGAATACGGTGCCGCGGGCGCTTGGGTGCGGGCGGCGCGTGTGTGTGCCCGCTCGTCGGCTGGGCCCGGCCGCCGACGAGCGGGCGGATGGTTCCGACGGAATCCATATTTAAATCGAGCGAATTCGGTGGGGTTGGCGCGGCCGCGGGCGTTTCAGAATCCAGATGGTGGTGGTGCCTGGGGCGTGTGGGGCTCAGCCGGATCGCGTGGGCGTGATGCTCGTGTCGTGCGGGTTCACATCATACGGCACCACGGGGACATTTCGGAGGCTCGGAGCAGCGGTCGAGCGAGTCGAGATTCGATGGCCTTTCGGCACGTCGCTCGCTTGACCATCCCGGATCTCGTCCCATTTCCGTCGATTAAAGGCTCTGCTTGCAGTGCCGCAGTAGTAACCACTAGGACAGCGACACGAAGGGCGCCCTTACGGGGACGTCGAAAGCCTCGTGCTTTTTAGTCGTAAGGCCATCGGGACAATAAAATCTAAAATGTGTCTTCAATAGATAGATTATAATTGATGTTAGAAGAGATATAATTTAAATCTGAGTATCATCTCTCCTGGAGATCCATTTACAGAAAGGGTTCTCTTTTAAGTCTCGTTGTTGAATAAGAGTAAAATTGGGTATTGAACCATTTGCCTGTAGCGCTACCCAAACGTAGAATGCGTCTTATATTTTGAGTAACGGTTGTTGGAGACAGTCTAACTACTGTCCCTAAGGATTTTTTTCCTAGTATGGTTTCTGCATTTATTTAAGGTTGAAATCTATATTATAAGATATTGTGATAGATAGAACATGTATAAGGCCTCTTTTACCTTATTCTCATCTCTATCCTAAGCGCTCAAAGTCATTATTTGATTCTTTCAACTTTTCAAGTTCGAATGAACCACTTGAGAAGTTAAATATCTTGGATTATTACTATAGGAGTTCATAAATCCAAATAAGAATGTGGGAAAAAAATTAAAGAACCATGGTGTACTTCACTCAAAATTTATAAAACAGTATCGAATATTATGTATGTGTGGGTTGTATCATACTTATATTTAATATATTTATATGATACATGACTACTTTGAAAAAAAAATGAAGTTATATAATGCCTTAGCGCAAGAAGAGTCAAAGATACACGAGCACACGACCCAACTGACTATTATAGATTCGAGTTTTTTTTTGTCTCAGCGACGATGCTTACATTTGTGGTTAATTATTCTTTTAGCGGTAATACAACACAGCTAATTACGCTTTTGTACTGGCTTTGTCAATCTCAAAATTTATCACCTATAGAAATAATTGTGTGTGTACACAAGCATCCTGTATGTAGTTAGGAAAAATAAGGATGGACGTTTGTACACAAGTATCATGATGGTTTCTGTGGCTGATAAGCCGGTTGAAACTGATTTATGGTGAGAGAAAAACACTGTACCGTGACTAATAAGCTCAAGCGAACGGGGCCATGATTCAGCAAAGGAACGTGTAGCTGAGGAATTTTCTAAACCATATTGAAAATGCAATCGGAAGCTTACAAGATTCCTTTGTAGTTTAGGTTAATCCATCTAAAATTTGGAATAACCATACATAATTCCTAGAGTATTGAGGTTCGTCTACTTAACAATGTTAATAGGTGGTAGATCTAGCAGAAAAATTCATTGGTGTCATAACCCCTCTATTGTGCCATAATATCATCTAATCATTTAAGCACCAATAAGCATACTACCAAAATGGTGGAGTTCACCTAGTGTTTTAAAGTAGTAGTAAAACACTACCACTAGTCATAGCACTTAGGAATTCTCACTAGAAGACATTTGGTAGAAAAAAATTATACTAAATGTTGAATGTTAAAACACTAGGAGAACACCACATCACTGGGAGAAGTTTTAAATTTTGGTTGATATATTTCAAAGGAGAATTCCAGAAGCTATTGATGTCACGGGACACCACAAAAATAGCCTGGATCCGCCCCTGCCGTGAGCTACAAAATCAAGTATTGAACATCCCAAACTAAACCCTTAGGTGGTCCGTGGTTTTACTGATGTGTCACATTATATGAATGTTGGTGTGGCAAT